CAGTGATTTAGGAACGGTGTCAGAAAGGACTACTCAACCGTCGTAGCAATCACAGATATCGGTGGTCAAACAAGATAACTATGAAACAGATCTACTCTACAATAAAAAATTAGGACAGCAAAAATAGTATTTTTTGATACCGGTCCAAATGGTGTGCTCATGTGTTGTCGCTATAATGTATGCTATACCTGCAGAATTGGTATGGAATTGGTGCAAAACAAATTTTTGCGACTTTATCATCTTAAACGGTGGCAGGTCAGCACTTCAGATTTGACTTCGATGGATTATACTGTCGGATCGATTCTGGAGCCTAAAACTTGCATAAAAGCTCTTATTCTTGTGGTTCCGTTGAAGAAAGTCGCTCCAGAATAAGTAAGACGAGTCCTACGCACCACATTGCGTGCCACAGTCGATGGTTCCTCGATGTTTCTGAGGACCCGTATAAACACAAACCAAGGAATTTCAAAAATTGCATGGATGTCGACGATTCAGAATGGGACTGTGCACGTCACTGCATTTTTGTTTCAAAGAATTGCACCTTGCTCATCCTAGGCAACTCGAAGTCGCTGTCTCCGTAATTTTGGCGCACCCTGTAGTGAAAGGCACGTCAAGCGATAAAACGCGTGTACATTATTGTTTTCGATAATGGAAGCATCTTTGATGACTGGTCTCCCAGTGATAAAAAAAAGCGAAACAGTACCACTTCAAATCCCCCGTAACCACTCCGACGGTGTGGGAGGGGTTTGCGCTCCATCCCTCCTAGAATCCCATTAATTGGCCTCATCTCCCCGGCGTGTTTTACTCCTCAGTGGAGAGGATAACCAATGAGACTTGCGTGATGGCGGGTGCAAACTCTGCTCATACGAAGGAGCACGGTGTGATTTTGAAAGTTTTCAGCATTTTTTCCTTTCATTATTAGTATGCATTAACCGCATTAACTGCATTACCCCCTACCTTTTCAACCACGGAATGAACCTTGGAAGAACTCACTCATTCAAGTTCTCATCGCTGACGACCATATATTGGCGAGGTCGATCCGAAGTAACAATCGCATCGCTCTGCAGGCCATGATTGAGGAGCAGGAGTACGAAGAAAATTCCAACCAAATCACCGCGTATGATTCTCTGGCCCATTCCTGAGTCGACGATAGGTGATTCAACGTCTTATAACCAACGTTGTTCTTCGAAATTCATTAGATGCTTGCACTGCTTCCTTGCTTATGCGATAAGGTGGCAATAAGAGACGTCTATTTGGGAAAATAAAGCGAAGAAGTGGAATACGTCAACACAGAGTGCAGAACAGTAACGAATAAAGTGGTATAACTTCTTGCATTACTCCATTCTCGAAAAGCTATGCTTAACCTAAGAATTTTTTCTGCATGTCTTAAAAATGTTTCATGGACTCAAATAAGGAAGACCCATAGACATGCCATAAAGATACTAAATATGTATAATATAAGGTAGTTGCTTAATTGAGAAAATAAGGCCATTTAAAAAAACCCTTTCTGTAAATACATATCTCTAAAATTACTGTATTCAAGGCGTTTGAAGGGGTGTCGAGGAGACCCTACGGTCCAGTTGCGTGTAGTAGTACCGTACCCAGTACCGTATCTAGTGAACTTCTGCCATTCACACGCTGTGTAGGAAACCACTGGGAGAACAGTTTCCGAGGTTTCCTCCTTCTTTGTGTCTTTCTGATTTCTTAGCGCGAACGCCGAAAAAGTGTGATTTGTTCAGGTTCGTGAGGAAGTGTTCAAAACCAAAAGCCCAAAGGAATCTTCCCCGAAAAATTCTTCCATTTTTTCCCAATACGAATATGTCAGATGTGATCACTAGAGAAAACACCCAAATTCCACCCGCGAAGATTCGGTTTCCGAGAAATAAACATACGAAACTAACTCTATGGACAGTCGAAGGTAAGTGGCGCGGAGCCATAGGCGTGGGCATGGAAACAAGTGCGCCTCGTGGCGGCCACGTATAAGGCGGCGTATTTTATTAGGAAAATCAATTTCAGTTTCAATTAATTACATGCTAAATATAACATGTAAACAAACACAATAATCCATGAAACAAATAAATAATTCTAGCAGAAAAAGTGGTCAAGAAAAACAATGAAGATAATGAGAAACAACTTTCCTGAGTTTAACGAAAGAAATTGGTATTTGCATAGCTTTACTCATTTTTGCGTACTCCGTTCCAGCCCGAAAAGTGAAAAATTTCTACCAATGGACGTACGAGGTTGCCGAAAGAATAACTTGAACATATCACCCCTAGTCTTAGACGGCACCAGCTTGAAAAACAAGTGACTACTCAAATCAATTCGCTTACTAAGAATGCTGTGTACCATTAGAATGTCGTTTCTTTTTCTCCTGAGATGTAACGGATCTAAATTGAGAATCTTGTTTCTAATCAATCCACGTGGTATGCTTCTGTAAGTGAAACCTAGAGCTCTAATGAAAATCTTCCGTGTGAAATTATTCTGAATCTTTTCCAGCCTGTCAGAGAGCGTTTTCTTATGAGGATAGATAAATGCAGGTACCGTATTCGAGAACTGAGCGCACGTAAACTTTGTATGCCCTGATAAGAAGCAATGGGTCTTCAGACTTAAGCGCTTTAACAGCAAGAAGATTCTTTGTTCAGCCTTAGAAGCGATATTTTTCAAGTGCTCCTCAAAATTTAATTTAGAATCAACGAGAAAACCCAGATCTTTTACACATTCACTTGCAGCGAGTTCAGTGCCATTAATTAGATATTGAACTTTAGGATTAGACTCACCCAAATGAAGTACCATAGTTTTGCTTACCGAAAGAGGGAGCCTATTAGTGATCGACCAAGCAACAGTAACATCAATTGCCTTCTGTAGCTGAGACGATTCAGGACTAACTGGGTAGTAAATCTTCAAATCGTCCGCAAACATTTTTACTCCTACATCAAGCTGTTCCAATGAATAAGGTAAGTCGAAGGTATAGATATTAAAAAGTATCGGTGAAAGGACACTGCCTTGGGGTACCCCACTAGGAGAGTTTCTAATACTAGAGAAGGTTTGCTGGTCCAAGAGTTGACACG